TTGTGAATTATGTGATAGTTTACATGGGAGAACGTTAGCTTTATATTCATCCTATCTTATATCATTTCATTGCCATGGTTACAGTCCCCTCCATGCATCGTCAACCAACCAAAGGGTTTATATGCCCTGCAAGCCTGCCCCCTGGTAATCAGCACACAGCCCCTCTCCCTCTCTGGGTCTAGAGTCCTCAGCTGCTCTGTCTCTCCACGCCATCTTCTCTGCCTCCATCTCTGACATCAGTGTTCCTCTTGGTAGGGTCCCACACTCTGCTCTTCTCCTTGATGGTCCCAGGGACCTCTGTGGAACAAAGTTTTTGGGACCTTCATTTGTTGATGGACACAAATAAAAATGAGAAGAAATAGCTGCAAACATCTCTAAATATCAGAAAATGGAATATAAGAAATATTAATCTAGGAAAATTGCAAGTTGTCAAAAATGAAATTGAAAGCCTAAAGATCAATATCAGAGGCACTGTTGTTGTTAGGTGCTATTGAGTCAGTTCCATCTCATACTACCCTGTGCGTAACAGAACAAAACACTGCCTGGTCTTGTACCATCTTCACAATTGTTGTTATGTTTGAGCCCATTCCTGCTGCAACTGTGTCAGTCCAACCCTTTGGTTTGGATTTTACCTGGATTTACCTACATTTTACCAAGTTTGATGTCTTTCTTCAGGGATTGGTCGCTTCTGATAACATGTTCAAAGTAAGAGAGACAAAATCTTCCCTTTATGGCTTCTCGGGAGCATTCTGGCTGCACTTCATCTAAAACAGATTTGTTTGTTCTTCTGGTAACCCATGGTACTTTTAACATTCTACCCCAACAGCGTCATACAAATGTATTGATTCTTCTATAGTCTTCCTTATTTATTGTTCAACTGAAAACACAATGGCTTGAGTCTGGCACACCTTGTCCTCAGACGAATATCTTTGCTTTTGAAATGGTTGAACATTGATAATTTATTTTTGGTACTGTGACTCTGGATAGTCCTACCATCTTCCTTTTTTTTTTTTTTTTAAAGTTTTTATTATGAATTGAGTGATAGTTTACATGGGAGAACTTTGGTTTTACACTCCTCATTTCATTGCAATGCTTACAGTCTCCTCTGTGCATCATCGTTCAACAATATTTGCTTCTATTTTTTCTGATTTTAAGGGGGAGCTGGGAGGTGTACACAGAAACACTCAGGAGGAATAGGTGTTCATTTCAACAGCCAAAGGGCACATTCTGCAAGACTGCCTCCTGGCCGCCAGTACCAGCACACAGCCTTTTTCTGAAATTAATGATCTTTACCAAAATTTTGCTTGCATATGAGATTATTTTTCAATAATTTCCACATCTGTTAGATCACCTTTCTTTGGAATAGGCACAAATATGAATATCTTCCAGTTGGTTGGCACTGCATCTGTTTATTGAAACATTTTAATTAGTATTCTCTCAGCTCCTGAAGCCTTGTTTTTCCCCCACCAATGCCTTCAGTGCAGCTTGGACTTATTCTTTCAATGCCATCTTTCAGAAGAGGACATGGAAAGAAGGGTATCGTTATTGACATCAGATGGACCTTGACTAAAAGCAGTGAATATCAGAAAGATGTTTACTTACGTCTTATTGACTATACACAGGCATTTAACTAAGTGGATCCTAACAAATTATGGATAACATTGTGAAGAATGGAAATACCAGAACATTTAATTGTGCACATGTGGAGCCTATATATAACAAGAGATAGTCATTTAAACTATTTAAAAAGGAGCTCTGGTAGTGTAGCGGATTATGAGCTGAGCTACTAACTGCAAGGTCAGCAGTTGGAATCTACCAGCCGTTCTGTGAGAGAATGCTGAGGCTTTCTGCTCCTGTAAAAATTTACAGCCTTGGAAAACCTATACAAGGTCACCATGAGTGGAACTGACTCCACCACAGCACATAAACAACAACAGTCATTTAACAGAACAAGGGGATACATTTGCATGGTTTATTGCCATACTTACTCAGCCTGTATGCTAAACAAATAATCCAAGAAGCTGAACTATATGAAAAAAGAACATAGCCTCAGGATTAGAGTAAGGCTCATTAACAACCTGCGATATGCAGATGACAGAACCTTGCTTGGCTTGGCAAAAAGCAAAGAGGACTTGAAACACTTGCTGTTGAAGCTCAAAGAATACAGTCTTCAGTATTCAACTTAATGTAAAGAAAGCAAAATCCTCACAACTGGACCAATAAACAATATCATAATAAACCGAGAAAAGATTGAAGTTGTCAAGGATTTTATTTTACTTGGATCCATAATTGGTACATATGGTAGCAGTCAAATCAAAGGATATGTTGCACTGGACATATCTACTGCAAAAGACTTGTTTAAAGTTATTAAAGAGCAAAGATGTTACCTTGAGGTACACCTCAACCAGGCTATGGTATTTTCAATTACCTCATATGCAACCACAAGGTTGGCAGTTCAAACCAACTAGCCGCTTCATGAGTCTTTTCTGCTCCTGTGAAGATTACAGCCTTGGAAACCTTATGCAGGATTATAAGTAGAAATCGATTTAGTGGCAGTGGGTTTTCATGTGCATTTGAAAACTGGACAGTGAATAAGGAAGACTGAAGAATAATTGATGCTTTTGATAATGGTGTTGGTAAAGAATATTGAATATATCAGGACTTCCAGAAGAATAAACAAATCTGTCTTGGAAGAATTACACTCAGAATGAATGCTACTTAGAAGCAAGAATGGCGAGACTTCATTTCACATACTTTGCACATGTTGTCAGAAGGGACCAGTCTTTGGAGGGCATCATTCTAAGTAAAGGGTGAATGAAAAAGAGAAAGACTTTCAATGAATTGGATTCACACAGTGGGCTAAACAGTGACAATTGTGAGTATGGTACAGGACTGAGCAGTCTCTGTTTACATAGGGACTTTGTGAGTTGTAACTGACCTAACCATACCTAACAACAGCATTCTGATTTTCAGGGAAAAAAGTATTTAGTTTTAAAAGTTGGTAACTTTTCTGTCTTCTCCTCACACTTTCCCAGTGTTAAGGTGATTATTAATGTAAGTGTTAACAGCAAATATTCAAAAATTCCCTAAAGTGGTATCTGCAAATAAAACCTAGTAGTATATTTAAAAGGAAAATGTACAATTAATAAGTATTTGAATACAGTGATTCTTAGGGAAAAAACTTACAGATTTGTCAAACTTGTATGAAGATAAGGATGAAACAACTGAGGTATATACATAAAGGAAGACTTGACTAATTAGAGACTTATGCTATATTTCTGTGTGGAAACTATCAATTTTGTTAAGGACTGTTGTTGTTAAGTACTGTGGAGTCGGTTCCGACTCACAGTGACCCTGCACAGGGTTTCCAAGGCTGCAAATCTTTATGGGAGCAGAAAGCCTATCTTTCTCCTGCGGAACATCTGGTAGTTTCGAACTGCCGACCTTGAGGTTAGCAGCCCGACTCGTAACCACTACGATACCAGAGCTCCTTTGTTAATGCCTAGACCTGTACAGATTTATCTGTGAATTTTAAACACAATCTAAATTGAAACTGTAGTACTATTATTATTTCTGGAGCTTACTAAAATACTTCTAAATGTCATTTGCAAGAATTAACCTGTTATTCAGACCTTTATATTATACTGCAAAAAAAAAAAAAAAATCATTTACATTTTTAAAGACTTAGACTTTATTTTTATAGAAAATAGAATATGTACATATAGGAGAGTTGAGTTGTTCTAGCAGTAGTGTTTAGGATGTACAAAGTGCTGTTTTTTTTATACCAAGTTCAGTGCCGTGACCACACTGAGATGACTCCTCACCCCACTGCTTTGTTTTCTGTAGGATGCCGGCAGCCAGCAGGTGGGGTTTCTGCTGGGCAGCTGTGGGGTTGCCCTGGCCCTGACCACAGATGCTTGTCAGAAAGGCCTCCCCAAAGCACAGACTGGAGAGGTGGTGACCTTCAAAGGTGGGGCTCTCAGGGTAAGGGGAGGTCAGTATTGTGGTTGTTGTTCTTTGTCGAACTATGCCTTCTAGGCCTACTTTTCCAAAATTTAAGTATTACAGTCTTTACCAAAATCTTGAAGTCCTTGTGAATGTTCATTTTCAATAGCTGCCATGTAAGCACAGCTGGTTCTGACTGTCTAGATCTGTGCTATCTGGTATAGTAGTCAGAGGTCTTGTGTAGCTGTTTAAATACAAATGAAAATTAAACAAGACTAAAAATTCTGTTCCTCAGTTGCCCTTCCCACATTTTAAGTGCTCAGTCACTAGTGAATGCTGAGTTGGGGCTCCGGATGTGAGGAGCAGAGACCCTTTGACGCACACTTGTGCAGTGTTACTTTGTACTGTTGGCAGGTTGGCCTCCCCTCGCCTGGCTGGTGATTGATGGGAAACATCTGGCAAAGCCCCCTAAGGACTGGCACCCGTCAGCTCAGGATGCAGGGGACGGGACTGCCTACATTGAGGTAACTAAGAAGCTAAGAAGCATGCTGAATCATACCCCAGATGATCAGGTTTTGCTTTTCATAGGCGGATAAGCTGTGTATGTATGAGAGGGCTGCAAAAAGTTTGTAAAAAAATAGAATTGAAAGATAGTGGAAAGAAAGATTGTGAAAGAAAGTCTCACAAACTTTTTAAAAGTCCCCTCATATAATTTCAAGTTAAATTTCTTCCTTATGTTTTATCTTCACTTTAGAAGTATAAAATGTACCCAACTCAATCTTTTTAGGCTTTATTGTTAGCTAATTCATCCCTAACTGGCTCTCCTGGGGTCACCAGTATTCTATGAGGAAATAGTCGCACAGTAGAAGTGTGCTAGAGAAAGCTTTCTGTGAGGAAGTATTCATTGAGGAAGTTTTTATACCTGCCCTGGGATAAGCCACAGAGGACTTGGAGATGAAATGCACACTTGATTTTTGTTGTTTTTTTAAAGTTTTTATTGTGAATTATGTGGGTTTACATGGGAGAACATCAGTTTTATATTGATCCTATCGTATTTTATTTCATTGCAATGATTACAATCCCTTCCATGTCATCCCCATAGGCCTGTCCCCCGGCCATCAGCACACAGCCCCTCTCCCTCTCTGAGTCCAGTGTCCCCAGCTGCTCCATCTGTCCACATCATCGTCTCTGCCTCCATTTCTGGCGTCACTGATTCTCTGGGTAGGGTCCTGCACTCTGCTCTTCTCACTTGATGGTCCCAACGACCTCCACTCCTGGACTGCAAAGTCAATCACTCCCCTCCTTTTGTTACAAAACATCTACCTTTACATTTCCGACCCTCACAGTTAGTCCTGATAGCAATTATTCAGTATTGTATCACAAGAGACCTATCCGCATCTCCTTTCATCAGCCCCACCCAGACAGATTGGATACTACTCAGTGGAGATTCTACCTTCCTCTGTACCCTCTGGATCTAAGTTCCGTCTTGAAAGCTTTTAAGCCAGTCACTTCTTGCCTTTGTAGCACCCCCATTTTGGATAGCTGATGTCTGAGTAGCCCATCCTGTCTACCCTGTGTACTGAGGGGGTGGGAGTGATCTTCACTGTAAAAATTTGTTCCCTTTTTTGAGCTACTACATCCATAAGTAGAGGTAAAGTTAATCAAATTGTAGCAGGTTACTCTTTTTTTTTCCCCCTCTTCTTTCTTCTTCTAGTCGAGATCTGATCATGTAGCCATTGAAGCCAGGTCAAGTGGGTACTATCTGCAAGTATGGGTATTCTTGTGCATCTCCCCTCACTTCATATCAGCTGGATGCTTCATTCTCTGCTTTAGTCCTCTGTGGCCATGTCACTGCCTCTGGACTCAGGAGTCCCCGGGTCTTGCCATACTGCTGGCCAATCAAGTCTCCATCCCGGTTCACAAGAGTCTGTTGAATGTGGTCAGACTTAGCTCCCAACTTCATTGCTGTTTTTCACCCTCTTCCCTTTATCGGTGACCAACGTGGTTACCAGCTAGACCACATGACTGCTCGTGTTTTCCCCTTGAGTCTTAGTCTTGGAAGGGATTTGCTCTGAGGAGACCTGACCACTTGCCTTGATGGCTCCCGGGGAACAGCTTGCTTATTCTTCTAGTTGTCAGTCAGACTGCCGTTGTTGTTTTTCATTTTTCCTGCCTGTCATTCATTCTTTCATGAAGTATCTTCTGTTCGTCTAGCCACTCCAGGCTGGTCTACTTGCCCTTTCAAGTGGCAGTTTCCCACTCAGAGGATTCTGGATGGGGTTTAGGATTCCACCTATGGTCTTATGCAATACAAAGGCTCCACAGGAAGCCTCCTTCACTGGGCAAGTTCTAGCCCTTTTAGTAATCTAATCAGTTATAGGCTGAAGATTTACATGCTTTCTATTGTGATGTTTCTGGCTATTCCTTTCTCTCCCCATCAAGTGTCTGTTTTACAGTGGTATGAAAGGGAAACCAAGATTCAAAAGACAGCCAAGCATCTTAACATTATTCCCCTCTTTCACTCATTCAAACCATGCCTTAATCCCTTTATCCTGAAGCCCTATTGTTCCAAGGTTGTGCATATATCATCATTTACCTCTGTCCCACTTAGCCCATGCAAACCTGCCTAACTGTTCTCCCATCTGCCTTATTCTTCCATTCCCTTCCCCCTTCTTGTGTATTATCATCCCCCCCCCCATTACCCAAGCTATCCCGTGTCTATTCCCTACCCTGTGCTCTGTCTTCCCCTTCCTCCCTCCCTTCACCTCATCCCATACATCCATGTCACCAGCAAATATAAATATAATTTTTTTCCCCCTTTTAGGGTGGGTTTTTTTCCTAAGCATTTACAGTAATGGTCCTATGCAATATTTCTCCTTTATGACTGACTAATTTCACTCAATCATAATGTCCTCAAGGTTCATCCATGTTATGTGGTGGCTTGCAGCTTCCTTGTTGTTCTTCAAGGTAGCATAGTATTCCATTGTGTGTGTGTACCACAGTTTGTTTATCCATTCTTCAATTGATGGCATGCACTCTGATTTGTAAGACAAGTTCTCAAGTAGATGGCGCTCATCAGCCTTCATTTTTTCTGCTGTTGCCTTAGAAATATTACGTAATAGCTTTTTCTCTACAATTATTGTTATTTTTTATTTTAGTATAAAACCAGCAAAGAAGGCAGTACGGTGGGAATCACGGTGTCTCATGCATCCCTGTTAGCCCAATGTCGTGCTTTGACCCAGACATGCGGTTATTCTGAAGGTAAAGTGACAGAGCAGGGGTGGGCCTTCTAGCTGAACTTTATAAGGTACTTCACTGAGAGCCGTTGTGCTACGGGTTAGAATCCATCACTGGATTGCACTTTTGCCCTTTAACCCAGTTATACCAAGCAATGAAATGCTCTAGTGCCTATAACCACAGCTGTGGGTCTTGAGTGTTATGTTGTTCTATGTCAGTCACCTCATGGTTGCTGTAACCTTTGCTTAGGAACCATAGTTGATTATAGCTCCAGGCTCCGCCCTTAGAGGACCCTCTTTTCCCTCTCTGCATGGCAAATCTAGGTCCCTTGTATGGGACACAGCTGGGGACTCTTAACTAGAGGCATGTGCAGTGAACCCTTATGCCTTGTACCTAGTCCAGGTCTCTAAAGTAAACCAGTTACACTCCTGGTTGAGAAAATGGAAACAAGAACTTTTGGATCTTTGGGAAGGAAATTAGTACTGAGTCTCTCAAAAGATATAGGGCACAGCCTCTGGAGGGTGAGCAAAGGAGGAATCTGGGTGTAGAGTTGAGAGTTGTTGTTGTTGTTGTTGTTAAGTGCCATCGAGTCCAACTCTAAGCGACCCTGTTTAGGATTTCCAGGGAGCAGTTGGTGAGTTTAAACTGCCAACCTTAATGTTTAAACCAACCTTGCGGTCTACTGCTTTATTGTTCAGTGCCATACCATGAGAATTACGATGATTCCTCATCTCCACCTCTTTATTCTAAAAGTGTATTTACCCAGAACATTTGATTAAAATATGTAATGATGCCTCCTGTAATTTCTTAGGTATATTCCTTAAATTATCAGATTAATGAGCAACGCAGTTTTCTGTTTTAATCCAAAGTTATATGCCAGCTTTTTCTCAGTAATTTGAATAGATAATCAAGAATATTGATTAACTGGTGCATGATATTTTGAAATACTATATGTGCCTTCTAAAATTCTTATATATCAATGATGTATTTATCTCAGAATTCCTCTAAAATATGCACAGGACTTTTTGAAGAGTGTTGCCTAGTAGTGTAACCGTCTTTGTCCACTTTCAGCTGAAACACTAACAAATGTGCTGGATTTTAAAAGGGATGCTGGTCTGTGGCATGGAGTATTAACGGTGAGTGTTGTTTGTTAAGTAATTTAAGTGTCAGGAAAAGTGATTCTAATGTTTTCATACCAATATACTTTGTCAATCCTGTTGTTCAATATGTAATTAATCTTTAGTATATACTGACTAACTCGAGCGATATGCTTGAAATATTTCTGTTAGAAACTCATCGTCTTAATTTATGTTTAATTTTCTGGTATAGCTTAGTATTGTAACATTCTGGAGGTTAAGTGAGGATCCAGTGTATCCCTCGAATGAACTCATTTCTCCTCCAGAGCGTCATGAACAGGATGCACGTCATCAGTATCCCTTATGCTCTGATGAAAGTCAACCCACTCTCCTGGATTCAGAAAGTGTGTGCATATAAAGGTAACAGGAATGTGTCATGGCCACTTGATTCATTGTTTCAAAAAAAAATCTCATCAACTTCAACTTGGTGATTTAGAAAAAAATTAAGCCAGCCCTGCATCCCTGGAGATACATGTGGAAGCCTGGATGGCCAGGGTTAGTCTGGGCTGTCCACGCCAGTTGTCATGGTCCTGCCCCTCAGACTATTCTGTAGACTGTGGAATGTGCCCACAGACTATGCTGTGTGCTGTGCTCCAAGCTCCTGATTCTCTGCTCTCTCAAGTGTTCCTGTACATTAGTACTCCCCATCTTAGTATTTGAAATGGTTTTAGTGTGAAACCACCAGAAGCAAAGCTGCTTATTCAGATTCAGAAGGTGATCTGTATCTCAAGTAAACCATGGATGATCCTAGCCCGACATCTTCTGCAGGGCAGTCCTAAGCCTTCAGAGGAGCAAACAGAAGCTCCTTGCAAGCTACTTAGTCGGAGGCACTCTCTCTATTCCATGGACTGTGTGCAGTGCGTGCTGTGGGACTGTCTACCACCTGAGGCTGGCCAGACCTGGTGCTCTTTTACATGGGCTGGTCCTCAGCCTCCCACTTGTCTCTTGTGGCTATGATGATTGTAAATATCAATGCCTGGGGTGGGATGGGGTGGAGAGGGCAGGCATGTGCTCTGCAGGTGCTTTGGCAAGTATGATCTTTGGTCTTCAAAGCATCTGTCTGTTGGTCCTACTTTATGGAGATTGCTTGGGTGGGGTGAAGGACTTGGTGTACAGCACAGCCAGGGTCGAGGCCCAGGCCAGTCTTCAAGTCCACAGTCCTCCCACCACCACCTGTCTTTCCCACTTCTTCCTCCTCCCCCTGGTTTCTCAGGCTCCCAGCTGCATGCAGCCAGCACAGAAACATTCACCCCTGAGTAGAATGAAGGGGCCCTTACATAGGGTTAGTAACGGCAGAGATAGGGCAGAATGCTATAAGATGAGAAAAGAGCAAAATAAAGCTCTGAAAGCATTAAAGTTGAAAATGGGTTCCAATTTATTATATTGGAATTCATGCCAAAGTTGATTTTTTAAAAAAAACTTTTTATTTATTGTGAATTGGGTAACGATATATAGAGCAGATCATCTTTCCATTCAACAAGTCACACACATTTTATTTCATCTCGTTGATTGCAGTCCTCACAGTGAAGCATCTCTTATCCCACTTTTCTGTGTTTCCTGTTTCCATGCCTCCAAAGTTGATTTTTTAAGAAGTGAGATGAGTTTGGGTAGGCAATATGCATGCTTGACAGTTGGAGAGAAGAGGGCATGTGAGTGGAAGATGAGTTCACTCCCTCTCCTTATGGGACTGCAGTGCTGTGTGGGCCCATGACACTCAGCAATGGCAGTATGTGTGTGTGACACATACACACACACCTGTCTCCTCTGCAGCCCGTGCAGCCCTGGTGAAGTCCCGTGACATGCACTGGTCTCTCCTAGCCCAACGAGGTCAAAGGGACATCAGCCTCAGCTCACTGCGGATGCTGATTGTGGCCGATGGTGCTAACCCATGTAAGTATGTGGTCCTGTCCAGTGCCCTGTGTGTCCTCCTAGTCACTGACTCTTCAGATGGAGCAAGTTTGTATCGATAAACTATCCGGAGCAGCAAAATAAGGAGTGCTACCCGGAAGTGTCATATACAATAGAAGTGTTCCGTGGTGTCTGACACACACAGGCATCTTGTCGGCAACTCTTCATGCTTGTTTGTAAGGTCCCCTAAACCAAAAGCAACATTGATGAAGGTCCCTAATGGAAAAGTAATTTTTCTTAAGAAATTACCAGAATACAGTTATGGAATGGTAGCAGTGTCTTCTCTTTCCTCTGTGGACCTCATCTTGAGCCCCTGCCCAGCTTCCTGCCCTGAGCTTTCCTCTCTGAGATTCTCCCCTAGTACCCACCCCAAGCCCTCCTCCCTGAGCCCTGAACTCTCCACCATTGGTCCTGTGCCCCTTCCGCAGTGCCAGCTGATACCTGCAACCAAGTCTCTTCATTTATTTGTGCCCTTGCTGGTATGGGGGAGGAGAGGTATCTAGCACCAGCACTTCAGGACTGAGTATAATGTGTCTGATATATATGGGCTGGATATATGTATACTACTGAATCCTGACCCCTGGTCATGACTTGGGGGCCTCCATGAGGGATACATTCTGGAGACACACTTGAAATGACAGGCACTCCTAGGTGCCCCACAGAGTGGGGCTGTTCAGGAGTAAGGTGTTGTGTGGCAGATCCTGTGGAGTCAGTCAGTGTTTGGCAGAGAGAGTGCTCATCTCTGGGTGGGGGTGCAGGGGTTGTGCTTGGCCCACTGTCATTGTGAACGCTTATCTCCAGAGGGTGTGCCTGGCTCAGCTCCACAAATATCAGCTCTCTACCAACCTGCTCAGAGCACTCATGCTGGTCCATTCAGATCAGGACTTCATGAAGAGCAGGGCTCAGTTATATGTGTGAGTCTCCTTAGCAAAAGTGTGCTATAATAAGAAACACCTGTCTCCTTATTGCACTGTTGTTGTTAAGTGCTGTTGAATCAGTTCCAACCCATAGTGACCCTGTGTAGGGTTTCTAAGGTGAGCTTGTACCACTGACCTTGTGGTTCAAACCAACTTTGTAGTCCAGCACATTAGCCCACAGCACCACACCAGGACTCCCCTTACTGCATTACCTTACTGAAAATACATCCTGCCTCTTTATCTGTGAGCCTGCCCTATAGCACCTGCTGCCCTGTGTTGTCACTGTGACCATGCATCACTGTGAGGTTCAAATGCTGGGCAGCATGTGGCTCAGACATGGTGACCTCTGCCCCTTGTCACCTCCCATGACCAGCCTCTTACCTTATCTCTTGCAGGGTCCATCTCCTCCTGTGACGCCTTCCTCAATGTTTTCCAGTCCAGAGGTTTGAGGCCAGAGGTCATCTGCCCCTGTGCCAGTTCCCCTGAGGCGCTCACGGTGGCTGTTCGAAGGTAGTGTCCTTCCCACCTGGAGGCATGTCCACACAAACACTGATTTCCCTCTGGTGTCAGATGTTTATTTGGTAACCAAACACATGGGAGTGGTGTGTTTGCTACCTCTTTGTTTGTTCTCAGATTCCCATGTAGCATGCGCTCAGGGTGGCATTGTCTGCCCGGCAACACATCACCCTGTCCCCACAAAGCCTGCAGGAGGTGTGGCCTCCCTGGAGCCTCTGTCTGGACCCTTGCCAGCTCTACCATAGTATGCTTCCTCTCACTAGGAATTTAGGGAGGAAAGGGGTCAGTGCTTTGTTTAGAACGTGATGTCTGTGGGTCCAGAAGTCAGTTTGCCAGTGAAGGGTGGGTCCTGCCTCATTCCATTTGTGCTCACCAGTTACACACTGCTTTGCCACTCACCTTTATGCATGATAGGATTGGGGTAGCGTCTCCTAAGGTTCTTGTTCTCATCACGTAGGGTCCCTGTCACCTCTGTTCTTAGCCACATAATCACTGTAATGTGGGAACTGATCCTGACACAATGGTGGTTGGCTGCACACCCACCAGCTATGACCAGTCTATATGAAGCCCCTGCCGGGTGACTGGCACCCCGGCCACACCTTGAAAAAGCCCTGCTGCCCTTCTATGGCCGTCTCCCGTATGCTTCTCTGTGTGTGGGCACCTCGAGCCCTGTCCTTACACTGCAGTACCTCGGCTATACCTGCACTGGTCCTCAGACCTTGTCAGACTGAGGACTTTTACACCCAGCTTGTTCTCACCTGCAGCCCTTCTCATACCAGTACACCTGGACTGGTATGCTCACTGTCACATGTGTCCTCTTTGGGTTTGCCATCCTCAAGTTAGTTACTGGAAATCAGTCTTAGTTGTAGTTTTGTATCATATTCATACATATAAATAGAATGTTCTCACATATACGCGGATACTTAATAATCTTACATTCTTTTTCATAAATTAACATTAAAAGAACATTCTTTTCTTCACAACTGCAAATTATTCTTCATTCCTTTAACTTATGGGGGTTTGTTTTATGTGGCAGTTAATTTTTCTCTTAGCAGAGCAGAAGTCAGGGCCTCTGTTACTCAGTGTCCTGGTTACTGTGGCTGCCTGAGAAAGCACCTTGTGGTGAAGCCATAGCTCCACTGTGTTAACACTCATGCCTCTGTGAGTCAGGAGTTGGGAGGACCCAGCCAGGCAGTGTGGCTTACAGGGAGATGATGCCTGAACTGGACGTGTGGGGATGAGATAGCTGGAGCTGTCTGACATGTCTCTGCATGATCTCAGGCCTCCCCAACCTCCAGACTCCTCACAGCAGATAGTGGCAGAACAGCCACACTGCTAACCTGACTGAACATCAGCTCACTCAGCTCCAGGCAGTGTCCCAAGACAGCAAGGGAGAGTGGATGACCTTTGTGACCTGTCCTTGGAGGTCACATAGCGTCACTTCTACTGGTCATAGTGGTCACAGCCTTCCCTGATCGGGAAGGGGCTATAGACTCCTCTTTGGTAAGGGATGTCAAGGCCACACACCATCTGTCCTACTCAATCTCTGTACCATATGCAACTGAGGGCACAAATCAGAGGTACAATACTCTTGTATTTCCCATAGAGTAAATCAGGTGTCGGTTCTGTTTTCCAGGCCACCTGATATGGGGGGGCCTCCTCCAAGAAAAGCTGTTTTGTCAATGAGCGGTCTCAGCTATGGTGTGATCCGAGTCGACACTGAGGAGAAGCTGGCAGTGCTGACTGTGCAGGACGTTGGCCAGGTGATGCCGGGAGGTAAGGGTGCTGCTAAGGGACATTTGGTCTTGAGCAGGTATCACAGCTGAGGGGCCAAGACACTTGGGGTGGGTTCAGTGGTGCTTCATAACTTGAGGTGGAAGTTCTAAACCTACTTCTGAATGCCAGTAGGCAATCTGCTAAATAAAATGTGCATCGTATGTGCCATAAAGTCCCTTCTTAGGGGAGTATGCTGCATTTAAAATATAGTTTGTTGTTGTTGTTATTGTTACGTGCCGTGGAGTCGGTTCCGACTCATAGCGACCCTGTACAGGCCAAGGCTGTAAATCTTTACGGGAGCAGAAAGCATCATCTTTCACCCGCGGAATAGCTGGTAGTTTCGAACTGCTGACCTTGAGATTGGCAGCCCGACTCGTAACCACTACACTACCAGAGCGTACTACACCTGCAAACACAGAGAAGGTCAAGTCTTGGTGAATAATCCATTTAAATGTATTCTTCGTCCACAATTTTGAGGATCTTTTCTCTCTTAGCTAATGTATGTGTGGTGAAGGTTGAAGGTACCCCTTATCTCTGTAAAACGGATGAAGTTGGGGAAATCTGTGTCAACTCCAGCGCCACAGGCACAGCATACTATGGACTACTTGGGATCACAAAGAATGTTTTTGAGGTCTGTGCTTTCCCTCACTATGTTAATTCAAACCTGGGCACCTACGGGTCACCCACAGTACATGGTACATGGGGCAGGCCCTGTCCTCAGCCTGATGCCACATCTGTATTCTGTGCAGACTGTCCCCCTCACCGCAGGAGGTTCTCCCGTCTCCAACAGGCCATTCACCAGGACTGGGCTGCTGGGCTTCATTGGACCGGTGAGTGCGTCTTCAGTCTACATCCAGGACCCTTATTTGGAGAGGTGGGCTTTCTCATGACAGCTAATTGGCATGGGTCATAGGTGTCTGTGGGAACGTTGGTCAATTCCCTCTGGCCTCTCCTGCACATTGCCTTGCCAATGAGGGGTCGTGCCAGTACCTGTGTGGGAACAGCCTATAGATAAAGTGTGCATCCTACACATGTAGTCAGGGGTGGAAGCACTTGGGACCGAAGTCCCAGGTTTGGGCACTGTGCTTCAGTAAGAGGGCTCCAGTTTTCTTGAGCCTGTAATAGTTTTTTCCATTGCTTGTCAGGTACATGGACATTTATTCTATCATCCTTTACCATTTTGATGTCTGAAGTATCTCTAAATACCTTTATCAGTATTGCCTTAGCCCAGAGGTGTTCATTTAGGGGATTTCCCCCCCGAGAGGACACTGGCCAACATCTGGAGACATTTTTGGTTGTCACAATAGGGGTGGTAGTACTCCTGGCACTAGAGAGTATCTGGGATGTTGCTATATATCCTATAATGCACAGGATGGTTCTGGAGATCTGCTGACTTAGAGCATCACTGGAGTCAAGCATGTCCTTGCCCAGTAGTAGCCAAAGTCCTATATAGATTCACCCAGAGGTCTGCCCCAGTCCTTGCACATCCCCTTCTCTGAGCCTTTCCTTATGTTGTACTCCAAATGGCCCCCATGCCACCTGCAAGTCCCACTTGGGCTATAGGCACCCTTTACCCCACAGCGCCAGAGCACAGCCTGTCTGACCTGTGCTGACTGGTGTCCTTGCCCCCAGGACAACCTGGTGTTCGTCGTGGGCAAGCTGGATGGGCTGATGGCAGTTGGCGTGCGTAGACACAGCGCAGACGATGTGGTGGCCACTGCACTGGCCGTGGAGCCCATGAAGTTTGTCTACAGAGGCAGGTGATGCTGATGGGCCCCACTTGTGTGCTTTGGTACACCCCCCCACACACACATTAAGATTTGGAATGCTGTCTGAAGTAGAAAGAGAGGCTAGTAAATTTGAATATGCAAAACCTAGGAACTTCAGTACATCAGAAAATCTCATGAAGAGACGAAAAGAAAAAGCAAAGTATTTGTAGAAAGACTGCCAGTGTTAATATCCTTACCTTCTAAACTTCAGTCAGTTCCTTAAGAGGATTGGATCCAAATGTTTAGCTGGGCAAAGGAGTAGGGAGACAGATCAGTCCCAAAGGAAGACGAGACTAAGAGCAGATGAAAGTGTAAACTAAAACACAAAGTACCTTGAAATGTTTCATTTCTTTTGATCAAACCAGGACTCTGGGGCTTGGCCTCTATGGGGCCAAGGGTGAGGGTGCTCTGTCCCAAAGAAACTGACTCCTTCTGTTGGTTTTCACTTGGGGAAGGTGGGGGACTCAGCTGAGACCAGTGAATCAGGGAACCCTTGTTTTTGAAAATGTCTTAAAATAATCAAATGAACAAATTAATGTGGGCTCTGGTCTTTCCACACAGTTGTTTTGAAGAAACTGCAAAGGATGACAAGGAGAGGGGGGTAGCACCCGGGAGAACCCTAATGCGTGCTGCCATATGTCTAGGGATGGGACCATAGATGGCTATGAGTTCATAGTTTCAGGCACCATGCTTATCCCCCCAAGCCTTTCTTTGTCTTAGCATGTCTTCACCTGACCCTCAGCCCAAACTGGGGCACTGTCAGTGTCTCTGGGGATAGAGTCAGGGCAGCCACACTCTACTTCTGTGGACGTGAAGGGGCCACCTGCATGTGAACTCATACATCTGATGGTACCAGAGGCAAAAGCCCTGCCCTGGGTGCTTGCTGGATTGTCAGTGTGCCTCTGACTGAGTAGCCTTCACTTCCCTGTGAAAAAAGGGAAAAGCAGTACCCTTGAAATAAAAACCTCAAACCACACTGACTCATGTGCCATGGAGGAAAAGCAACCAAGAGTTAATATAAGCAAAGCTTAGAGACATTATAGTATGAAATAAGAGCAACAAATCATAGAGTTATTTAAAGTTGGAACATGGTAGATGGGATGAATAGTGTGGATGGGGAAAAGTGAGTTATAAGTCAGAAAGTCCATTTAAGGACTCACTCTAGAAGTAATGAAATAGTAAACTTGAAGATACATTTTTTTGGGGGAAAATGCAGTCAGTTGGCATTATGTAGTCCACAAAGATAATGTTCTGCATCCTACTTTGGTGAGTAATTAACTAGGGTTTGAAAAGCTTGCGAGCACCTGGCTAAGATGCAACTTTTGGTCTCTTCTTTTGTGGATCACAGAAGACTGAAGAAAATCAAAGATCCAAGGAGACAATTAGTCCAAAGGATTAACTTGAATAATAGTCTCCATTGACCTGAGACCAGTAGGTTAATGTGTCAAGACTGCAAAGCTGTTTGAACTGCAAGGTCTGTGGTTCAAGCTCAC